AAAACAGAAGGCATGTTTTAAATTTTTTTAATGTTCATTTATTTATTTGGAGAGAGAGAAAGAGAGATCAAGCAGGGGAGGGGCAGAGAGAGAGGGAAAGAGAGAGAATCCCAAGCAGGCTCCATGCTGCCAGTGCAGAGCCCGATGTGGGGCTTGAACTCACAGACCGTGAGATCATGACTTGAGCCTAAATCACGAGTGGGCCACTTAACCGACTGAGCCATCCAGGCACCCCGAGAAGGCGTGTTGTAAAGAATATGTATCACTCGCCTAGCACAGGACCACGAGGGACTATGGAAAGTCAATCTCAGATGAGTCTTTGTAATGCCAGTTAGGGCCTCCTGTGTTTCATAGAGCACGAGGTCAGAGTTCTTACACCTGCTCATTTCACTCGGGAGGAGAGAAAAATGCATCATCTTGTCGGCCAGGGTGACTTTCAATTCCCTCTCAGGTAAAGTGAGTGGGTCACACAATAACCCGACGACCGTGTTCTTGAATCTGCAAGGTTTCCTTTGTAAAACAGACCTCCTGGTCACATTGCCCGTGAGCTCGATGACTTCAGGCCTTTCCATAAACAATATCCTCCCGGACTGTGATACGACTGCACAAAATGTTGAGTAGAGTTGGAACCACTGACCTTACCCCAAGTCAAGTTCTTCTGAAGGACATCACCGTGTGCCCTCCATGTGCAGACGAGCAGGACAGGGACAGTGACACTGTAAGGCACACGTGCCACCAATGAGACAGGCTCCCAGGGCCACAACTCAGTGCTTCTGGCAGCAAGAAGGGGAAGAAGGAAGCCTGTCTCACAAAGCCAGCCAGGGATGAAATGAAGTATTTTTCTATTTCATCATATTTAGGATCTGATGATGGTAACGGCTAAATGTTTATGGAGCATTCCATGTGCCAAGCTCCACACTCGGTGCTCCACAAATACAACACGTGTTAAAGACACACAGTTCATGATGCCGTCAAGGTACAACCTGGTTTTTATCTCCTACGTTCCTTTAAAGTTTAATTGGGTGGGGGGGGCGCCT